TTGGTATTACACCTCGAAGACAGTCTAGTACTGCAGGACATATAACGACGGTTTGGTATAACACCTCGAAGACAGTCTGGTACTGCAGAACATATAACGACGGTTTGGTATTACTCCTCTAAGACAGGCTGGTACTGCAGGACATATAACGACTGTTTGGTATTTCACCTCGAAGACAGTCTGGTACTGCGGGACATATAACGACGGTTTGGTATTACGCCTCGAAGACAGTCTGGTACTGCAGGGCATATTACGACGGTTTGGTATTACACCTCGAGGACAGTCTGGTACTGCAGGACGTATAACGATGGTTTGGTATTACACCTCGAAGACAGGCTGGTACTGCAGGGCGTATAACGACGGTTTGATATTACACCTCGAAAACAGTCTGGTACTGCAGGTCGTATAACGATGGTTTGGTATTACACCTCGAAGACAGTCTGGTGCTGCAGGACATATAACGACGGTTTGGTATTACAACTCGAAGACAGTCTGGTACTGCAGGGCATATTACGACGGTTTGGTATTACACCTCGACGACAGTCTGGTACTGCAGGACATATAAAGACGGTTTGGTATTACACCTCGAAAACAGTCTGGGACTGCAGGACGTATAACGACGGTTTGATATTACACCTCGAAAACAGTCTGGTACTGCAGAACGTATAACGACGGATTGGTATTACCCCTCGAAGACAGTCTGGTACTGCAGTACATATAACGACGGTTTGGTATTACAACTCGAAGACAGTCTGGTACTGCAGGAACTATAACGACGGTTTGGTATTACACCTCGAAAACAGTCTGGGACTGCAGGACGTATAACGATGGTTTGGTATTACACCTCGAAGACAGGCTGGTACTGCAGGGCGTATAACGACGGTTTGATATTACACCTCGAAAACAGTCTGGGACTGCAGGACGTATAACGATGGTTTGGTATTACACCTCGAAAACAGTCTGGTACTGCAGGACGTATAACATATACGTGTTAATGCAATGTTAATGTTGACAAACCTATATATTGTTAATTTCCCATATCCAACTGTTAAACGACGGTCTGGTATTACACCACGAAGACAGTCTGGTACTACAGGACATATAACGACGGTCTGGTATTACGCCTCGAAGACAGTCTGGTACTGCAGAACATATAACGACGGTTTGGCATTACACCTCGAAGACAGTCTGGTACTGCAGTACATATAACGACGGTTTGGTATTACTCCTCGAAGACAGTCTGGTACTGCAGTACATATAACGACGGTTTGGTATTACGCCTCGAAGACAGTCTGGTACTGCAGAAAATATAACGACGGTTTGGTATTACACCTCGAAGACAGTCTGGTACTGCAGGGCGTATAACGACGGTTTGATATTACACCTCGAAGACAGTCTGGTACTGCAGAACATATAACGACGGATTGGGATTACACCTCGAAGACAGGCTGGTACTGCAGGGCGTATAACGACGGTTGGGTATTACACCTCGAGGACAGTCTGGTACTGCCGGGCGTATGACGACGGTTTGATATTACACCTCGAAGACAGTCTGGTACTGCAGGACATATAACGACGATGCCTACAGCATCCTCGGTATCCATGGTAACGCGTAACGCTCACTTTCGCTATCTGCATATGAATAAACTATATTTATTTTACAACAGTTATGAAACAAGTTATATAACTTAAATTAATCTTGGCCCGGATGTTAGCGGGATGTCCTAATGTGAGAAGAAACCGGAGTACCCTGAGAAAACCCACGTTGTCGGGCAGGTGACCTCATACCTTTTCACGACCGATCGGGGAATCGAACCCCGGCCGCCTTGGTGAAAGGCGAGTGCGTTATCCACTGCGCCACCCGGCCACTCACTATCTGCATATCAAAGAGGTGCCTACAGATGAGGCCGGTCATTCAAGGGCTATTATAAAGTGCCATCTTACTGAAATGCCATTACCTGGTCAGAAAGAGATCACAAGTATTATGTAATAGGGGCAGTAGTTATCCAACATTCTAGGCGGGAGACGGAAGAACAACGATTCAGCGAGGGGGCGGGGCATTAGTTCTGTGATGTTTACACCTGGCGTCCTTTCAAAAACAGTTCTATCGTCACAGCTATCATGTAGTGTGATACGGTAACCGGTTGAATGTTTGGACATAGCTACGGAAACCGTAGCTCTAGGTCCGATCGTTTTTATTTGATGATACCCTGAACACGTTAGTTTAGGTTCAATAACAGCTAAAGTGTAACAAATTCGCAGGTCCCTGTGTGTGTCAATTTTCTCTCAGGTCCCTGTGAGATACAGCAGGTTCTCCTAACTTATGTGTGATGTCAGTGTAACATATTTCCAGGTCCCTGTGTGTGTCAATTTTCTCTCACGTCCCTGTGAGATACAACAGGTTCTCCTAAATTATGTGTGATGTCAGTGTAACAAATTTCCAGGTCCCTGTGTGTGTCAATTTTCTCTCATGTCCCTGTGAGATACAACAGGTTCTCCTAAATTATGTGTGATGTCAGTGTAACAAATGTCCAGGTCCCTGTGTGTGTCAATTTTCTCTCATGTCCCTGTGAGATACAACAGATTCTCCTAAATTATGTGCGGTCTCAAAAAGGCAACAGAATTACATATTACACAGTTAACAGTAGGCGGGTACAAGGTAACGTGTACCTTTAAGATCATCATATCTATATGTCGGTCTCCACCAATCGTAATACGATTGATAAGCATCAAGCTCAGCTGGTTCTAGTCGAGTGCTTTTGAAAAAACTACAAGGCGTCGTCTGTTTACAGAGAACACGATGTATCTGTACATATAAAACAGATAAGTAAAAAGGGAGACTTTTAACAAGTTATGAGATATCTTATCATTAGTATCTTCTATGTTGTTAGATGGGGTGTCTCTATTCTTGCTTTTGAACTTAGATCACGAACTTCAATTCCCCATTCATTACCTCTTTCGCTTGACAAATGAAAACGACAAAAAATTACCAGACACGTTAGAGCGTATATGTAAACTAACTAACATGCACCCTCCACGTGAAGTACGTTCCCTACATCAATCACCTGAACGTTCATTTAAAGTAGACCAGTGAAACGTCACGGACTGGAGCACGAAAAGTTATGCGAATAGCCATATTTTCTATTTTGCGTATTTTACACTCTAGACCCTGTCATTTGTCTGTCTTTCCGTCCGAAGGGCAAGTGAGCTTATGACATGGTGCGGCGTCCGTCGTCCGTTCGTCCATCCGTCGTGCTAGGATAAAAGGCTACAAAGTTTGTTCAAATAAATGACCTTCATCAATTTTCAAGGTCACAGGCGTCAAATATGTTTAAAACCTTTATACAACTTCTGCTCAGTAACCAAAAGGCCTAAGATGATGATATTTGGTCAGTAACAAGCTGGGATGAAGGGCTACCAAGTTTGTTCAAACAAATGACCTTCACCCATTTTCAAGGTCACATGGGTCAAATATGTTTAAAACCTTTAACCAACTTCTCCTGAATATCCAAGAGGCCTAGGATAATGATATTTGGCCAGTATCATGCAGAGATGAAGGGCTACCATGTTTAATGTTCAAACGAATGACCTTCACCCATTTTTATAGTCACAGGGGTCAAACATATTATACCTTTAAACAACTTCTTCTAAATAACCAAAAGGCATAGGATGATGATTTTTGGCCAGTATCATGCTTATATGAAGGGCTACCAAGCTTGTTTAAACAAATGACTTTCATCTAGTTTCAAGGTCACAGGGGTCAAATAAGTTTAAAACCTTTAAAGAACTTCCCCTGAATACACAAGAGGCCTGGAATAATGCTATTTGACCAGTATTATGCTTAGATGAAGGGCTACCAAGTTTGTTCAAACAAATGACCTTCGCCCATTTTCAAGATCACAGAGGTCAAATATGTTAAAAAAAATTTAAACAACTTCTTCTTAACAACAAAGAGGCATATGATGATGATATTTGGCCAGTAGCATGCTGAGTTATAGTGCAACGAAGTTTGTTCTAACGAATGACCTTGACATATATTCATGGTCACAGGGATCAAATATGTTTAAAACCTTTAAACGACTTGTTCTGAATATTCAAAAGGTCCAAGGTAATGATATTTGGCCAGAAGTATGCTGCGACGGAAGGCTATCAACTCTGTTCAACTTAATGTCATTGTTTGACTTTCAAGGTCACAGGCGTCATATGTTTAAATATTTTAATAGATTCTAATGAATCGAACACAGAGATTTTGCCTGTAGCGGTACATAAGTCCACTTTTAAGATTACAAGTGTGAGATTAATACCAGGTGAGCGATTCAGGCACATTGGGCCTCTTGTTTCCTTCACGATTTATTCTGAATTCTACCATGCAGTTCAAATGACAATGGCCCCCATTCAAGGCCACAGAAGTAAAATGCGTAAACAAATCCAAGCGACTCTTTATGACAAACCATAAGGCTTGGAGTGATATAACTTGCGTTGATCGTTGTTCAAGGTCACGCGGATTAAATAAGTTGAAGTTTTCCAGCAACTTAAAGTATGATGTATGCAATAATTGTAACGCTTTCAATGTGTTCTGAAAGACGACCCTGACCCACTTTCTGATGAAAGACCTTAGCCCACTTTCTGATAAATGACCATGACCCACTATCTAATAAATGACCTTGACCCACTTTCTGATGAAAGACCTTGGCCCACTTTCTGATAAATGACCATGACCCACTTTCTAATTAATGACCTTGACCCACTTTATGGGTCGCTATGTGTCATGGCACAACAGGACACACACAACATATCAAGCACAGAAGCAGACACGCACACATGTGCAGATAAAATGAAAATATTTAGCAAATTGAAGATGAATAATCTAAACAAGCTCCATCCTCGAAATGTATGGGGGGTTACGCTTGTGTAGAGATCAAGAGAGCGTGACCCCTGAGGTTTCGAGAATGAACAAGCACCGATGTCACCACCTGATACAACCATAACTGACTACGTTGTTGAGGTTTTATAGATAAATTTATCACTTTTATATTTTCTCGGTCTACAGTCGTATGGTCTCTATTTTGTCCGACGGTCCGTTACCATACACATTGTCTGTCATTTCTACAGTCCGGAATTCCGGTCTGTTACCATACACATTGTCTTTCATTTCTACAGTCCGGAATTCCGGTCTGTTACCATACACATTATCTTTCATTTCTTCGGTCCGGAATTCCGTAACGTTTGATTCCTCCTTTTTTTCGTTTCCTTTATTTTCCTCGTCCCCGGGGGAGGGGAAAGGACCGCACCCTCCCAGGCACCATCGACATGCCTTGGTGGAGAATATCTTGTCATAGAGTAGAGCTCCAAACGCCCCTCCGACCAGGGGACCCGCCCAGTACAACTGTCAAAACAAACACAAATTATTTTGAAAGTTTTGCCACAATATTTGTTTTCGAAAATAATGGATAGGAATTGAAAATTGGTCGAACGAATTTTTTGCGTGGTTATCTTGATTTTTCGGCAAAAATCTTGTTCTTGTTGCTTTACAAGTGGGAAAAGATCGAATATTGATATGGTGGCATTCTCTTATCATAGCGCATCAATCGACTGAACGAGTAACTCGATGTGCTTTGGTGACGTTATAAAATTCAATTATGACGTCACTATTGCATTGGATCGTTAGCAAATTCTGATTGGATGCCCTTTCTAATGTACTTTTAGCATTGTATATATTCAAAGTGGGGACATACAGAGCTACATATATATAATATGTGTATTTGTATTCCGATTGGGGACATGCTTTTTGATACAGAGCTATTGAAAGTAGGAACAAGCCTTTTGAGTCACATGTGTCTTAAGAGTTTATGCGTTTCTCGATGTAAAGTGATCGTAAATATAAATACGTTTATTGCTATCGCCAGTAAAATTCGTTGTAATACAGTAGACTCTTTTTAATCCTATCCCGATTGAGAACTCACTTACAAAAATGAGTATACATCGATGTTTAAAAATACCAATATACTTATAAAATACCTACATGCTTACAGTTTCTTATTTAGAAATAAATATCATTACCTTCAAGTAGAAGATAATTTACAATTTCCTGTATACATGTATATGTAAAACTGCATCGTTATTTGTTGCACAAAACCACCATCAATAATGTAGACATTACTGATTTGTTTTATGATATTCCTTTCCAATTTATTCTGATATATATATATTATAGAAAAGATATATGTCACATTTCATGTTTTTTTAATTCTTCAGTTTCAATGATGTTGATAAACTTGTCACTGTAATATTTGCTTTGACCATATAGACCACAAGATTTGTTTGGTTTGTGAACTTTTCGTATTATTGAATTTTAAGGAATGATAGTTATTATGTAAAAATATTGCCATTCACAAAATGTACCACAGCATAGTTTTAACCCCTGACACACAACACTTAAACCAACCGGGACCTGTATTGGTTTTGTTTCCGGTTGTGGTCACGAGTTATCTATGACTTTAAGGCCAAACAAAGACTGTTTTGTTTCCGGTAACCCTTCATGTAACCCTACCTACCCTGTTTTTGGCACTTTTCAAAGAGGCACTGGTAATGTCAAAATCACTTTCCTATATAGATAAAAATAATTTATTGAAAACAAATGATATTTGTTGCCTACCTACCGTAATTTTTTCAACCATGCTATAGGAAACACGTTTATTTTTCGTTTATTAAATTAAAAGCGTAGGAGAAATTTTTAGAAGCTTTATGCCGCTGTTAATAGGACGTAAAACACAAACAAACCAAAGACATCATTGATCGGTTTTTGACTGCATTATGTAAATATATAGTATACAGTATCATAGGAGGCACGGTAGTCTAGTGGTAGGACGCCGGGCTCGTGACCGAAGGGTTGTGAGGCACGGTAGTCTAGTGGTAGGACGCCGGGCTCGTGACCGAAGGGTTGTGAGGCACGGTAGTCTAGTGGTAGGACGCCGGGCTCGTGACCGAAGGGTTGTGAGGCACGGTAGTCTAGTGGTAGGACGCCGGGCTCGTGACCGAAGGGTTGTGAGGCACGGTAGTCTAGTGGTAGGACGCCGGGCTCGTGACCGAAGGGTTGTGAGGCACGGTAGTCTAGTGGTAGGACGCCGGGCTCGTGACCGAAGGGTTGTGAGGCACGGTAGTCTAGTGGTAGGACGCCGGGCTCGTGACCGAAGGATTGTGAGGCACGGTAGTCTAGTGGTAGGACGCCGGGCTCGTGACCAAAGGGTTGTGAGGCACGGTAGTCTAGTGATAGGATGCCGAGCTCGTGACCGAAGGGTTGTTAGACACGGTAGTCTAGTGGTAGGACGCCGGGCTCGTGACCGAAGGTCTGCGGGTTCGAGTCACGGCATGACACTGTGTTGTATCTTTGAGCGGGATACTTTACTCTGCTTGTTCCAGTCTACTCAGCTGTAAATGAGTACTTGGTTGGGCAGTGCTAGAACTGTTGAATGCTAGCTGTTAGCGCCGAACTGGCAGCACCGGCTGTATTCCCCAGGGTGTTGGAAAAGATAATGGCTAGTGGCAAAGGCTCTATAGCTTTGAGACGACCTTCGAACCTATACTAGGTATACAAGAACCTCGAATTGTTATTATTAAGTATTGAGAAAACCAAGAAAACATAATTCATGTGTAAGGCACATCTATAATTTAGAATAAAAATTAAATTACAGTTTTCAGTTCATTGACTGTCTCTACGCTAGTTTTCGCATGCTGTATCAGCTATAATGATATCGGCTTATTGAATAAAGTATTTTAAGTAATACATACATGTCACACATGACTGAGCACCATTAACTATATTTTACGCATGACCGATTCTATTAGCTTCATCCAATGCTCCCCCGAGTTTAATATGCAAATTATTTCCCCAAATATTACCAAAAATAAAGGATGTCACGTCCGCCAGCTGTATACTGGGTGAACAGACCACAGAGTCTATGGTGTAGGTTTCGTAAGATAAGTTGAGGTTCCATGGTAATGCGACCGTCTCGCGCACCTTATCAACATTTTTTTTTTATAAAAGGTTTGAAATCCGATGAGTGCATGGTATTTAATTTCGAGAGAATAATTTGTTTACTTTAATCTAAAAAAAAGAAAACACCTGACGTTCATTTGAAAATATTTCAATTCAATGGATTGTGCCTGTTACACAAAGTATTTCAATATCTGCATTAGGTCACTTTATTTATATAGTATTCATGAATTAAAAAGGTGTACTCACACCATGTTGGTTTATCTGTGAAGAAATAACTTTTTAGAATTTGGAATCCTTACACTGGCATCTTTTTTACTTTATTTTTTGTTTAAAAAATCAAACCTTTATGAATTGTAGATGTCACCCAAGTTCGCGTTTCCCCTGACTTTAAGCTGAATATACTCTAACTACGCAGATCCTAATGACGTCAGCAGGGATCAGTAACCGTTGAACTCGCCTCAGTGTCGTACATAGTCCTATTTGACCGAATTTTCTGACAAAGATGAAAACGAACTTCCGGGTATGCACTGGAAACTTTTTCCGAAACGACTTTTGGTTTCAGTGATAAACAAATCCGGAAAGTAACAGGATAGCTAGTTGGAATTTTAATGGCAAAAAATAATAAAGATGATTTTTATTTTTTTTATTTGATTGAATGTACAAATTCAGCCGGGCTAAACCGAGATTCGACCCTTTACCTCTGATCATTAGAATGTATACTGTCGCTCTAAATAACTCAGCTACATGTACAAAACGATTTATAGGGGAGGATACTGCATGTACATACATCAACAGTGATGATTATAAAACATTCCCTGCTGATTGGGGATCGGGAAAAGAATACACCTGCTGTTACCCACTGCATGTATCGTAGGAGGCGACTAAGGTGGGAACCCCCTGCAGAATTGGGGATTTGCTTTGGTGTCCTCTATTTAGGGACACAAAAGTGACCAAAATAAATCTGCTGCGCCCATTGCAATATTTGGGATCTTTATCTATCTTTCTACATCTAACTACCGTTTATGTTCTAGCGCCTTCCTTGGCAAAACCTCACTTTTGGCTTGACTGTTGAGTGTTTGCTCAGGTGAGGAAGGCAATTGGGTTCTGTCCCTAGGCAAGGACATACCAAAGTCCTTAAACATGGTAGTTGTTATTTCCCTGCTTAACGTTCAGCATTAGGGGAATGGCAACAACTGGTTCGCTCGTTGTCAATATAATGTGACCGGGCGGAATGCTGTGCTTGGTGAAAAATCAGACAGTGAGATAGCACTATAAAGTCGGCATCAGATTGGCGCTATCACAAGGAGGCAATCACACGAACATACCCTGTATCCTACACACACACACGCAAGCACGCATACAAAACACACATGCAGGCACGTCCTTAAATGACCTTAGCTGTCAAAAGGACGTCAAGCAAAATTAAACCAAATATACCATCATGTGAGGCAGTTTTCTTGGATTTTCAAGATAGCCTCCATGCGTAGGTGTCGCCGCCATATCCAAATCGGAAACTGTCGGAAAGTGCCGAAGGTTCTCTAATGCGCCATATGCGTGCCATAGATCTAACGGAGTTCGATTTCTTAGCTGATTTTGATGAAATTTTACAAAGTTTATGTGTGAAAATAAGTTTTTTTAGGATATCAAGGTCAATGTTATCAGGACAAACCACACCTAACAGGTATTCCCAAGGACCCCGACACATCTCTCATTGGGTTCTCATTCGAGGATCAATCGGGAACCGTCGGCATTTTTCGTAAACGATAAACGAACCCATTCCGTTAACCAGGTATTTTCATTGCCCAAGGGATGTGATTCTGCTCCTGTATTTTGTCTCGCTGTTCCGTAACAACTGTTGAGTAACGTGCGTACTCTGCCCATTTCTGGCGCAAACGATGGCGGGATTTTAAGTTCAGATATATTGATCTGTGTGTCTTTTTATAGACCAAATACCTTAAGGTTCTGTCGTCTTTCTTTACCATTAGGGTGTACGTATACATGAATTAATTTTCTACCTCATCCTAACTCTGAAATTGATATTTATTGTTTCAAGCACAAATTCCAGCAAATTCATGATGTCCTGCTGACCGTGGCGATTTCCGTTTGAAACAAAGCCGACTCGGTTTGTCGATTGGACTCGTCGATTCGTATATGATTGGTGCATACAATGTACCTTATAACGTACAATGTACCGTATAACGTACAATGTACCTTATATCGTACAATGTACCTTATAACATACAATGTACTTTATAACATACAATGTACCTTATAACGTACAATGTGCCTGATAACATACAATGTACCTTATAACGTACAATGTGCCTGATAACATACAATGTACCTTATAACGTACAATGTGCCTGATAACATACAATGTACCTTATAACGTACAATGTCCCTTATTACATACAATGTACCTTATAACATACAATGAACCTTATAACATACAATGTACCTTATAACGTACAATGTGCCTGATAACATACAATGTACCTTATAACGTACAATGTAACTTATAACATACAATGTACCTTATAACATACAATGTACCTTATAACTTACAATGTACCTTATAACGTACAATGTACATTATAACGTACACTGTACCTTATAACGTACAATGTACCTTATTACATACAATGTACCTTCTAACATACAATGTACCTTATAACATACAATGAACCTTATAACATACAATGTACCTTATAACATACAATGAACCTTATAACATACAATGTACCTTATAACTTACAATGTACCTTATAACGTACAATGTACATTATAACGTACACTGTACCTTATAACGTACAATGTACCTTATAAAGTCCACTGTACATTATAACGTACATTGTACCTTATAACGTACAATGTTCCTTATAACGTACACTGTACCTTATAACGTACAATGTACCTTATAAAGTCCACTGTACATTATAACGTACATTGTACCTTATAACGTACAATGTTCCTTATAACGTACACTGTACCTTATAACGTACAATGTACCTTATTACATACAATGTACCTTCTAACATACAATGTACCTTATAACATACAATGAACCTTATAACATACAATGTACCTTATAACATACAATGAACCTTATAACATACAATGTACCTTATAACTTACAATGTACCGTATAACGTACAATGTACATTATAACATACAATGTACCTTATAACATACAATGTACTTTATAACATACAATGTACCTTATAACGTACAATGTAACTTATAACATACAATGTTCCTTATAACGTACAATGTACCTTATTACATACAATGTACCTTCTAACATACAATGTACCTTATAACATACAATGAACCTTATAACATACAATGTACCTTATAACGTACAATGTAACTTATAACATACAATGTACCTTATAACATACAATGTACCTTATAACGTACAATGTACCTTATAACGTACAATGTACCTTATAACGTAGCCGAATCGACGGTAGTTTTATAGTGCCAACTCGTGTGTACATTTGTGTACTACAAACATTGTACTGGTCACTTGTCTGAAAAATAGGTGACAATGTACATTCCATTTATCCGAAAACGTCAAACACGAACACTTTACTTGTTGTGCTTTATCAACCTTTCCATAATCCACACTTAACAACCTGAGGAAATTGTCTAGAAATGTACTTAATACGTGTCTTACCCATATTTTGTCTAGTTTGCCGGTGATGACGGCTGGTCCAAAGTTTCGAGCTGGATTCATGCAACCACCGGATATATTGAACTGTGAAAATATGTGAAGCAGCTTTAATTAGGACAAAGACCGATCGAGTGAGGAGGGTCCAAACATGTGAAGCAGCTTTAATTAGGACAAAGACTGATCGAACGATGTGGGTCCAAATATGTGAAGCAGCTTAAATTACGACAAAGACTGATCGAGTGAGGAGGGTCCAAAAATGTGAAGCAGCTTTAATTAGGACAAAGACTGATCGAGCGAGGAGGGTCCAAAAATGTGAAGCAGCTTTAATTACGAAAAAGACTGAGCGAGCGAGGAGGGTCCAAATATGTGAAGCAACTTTAATTACGACAAAGACTGAGCGAGCGAGGAGGGTCCAAAAATGTGAAGCAGCTTTAATTACGACAAAGACTGAGCGAGCGAGGAGGGTCCAAAAATGTGAAGCAACTTTAATTACGACAAAGACTGAGCGAGCGAGGAGGGTCAAAAAATTTGAAGCAGCTTAAATTACGAAAAAGACTGAGCGAGCGAGGAGGGTCCAAAAATGTGAAGCAGCTTTAATTACGACAACGACTGTGCGAGCGAGGAGGGTAAAAATTTAGGCAAATGTGAACATGAAATGACGTGGTAAAATCCACAAACAGTTTGTTAAAACAGGAGGAATGCTTGTCAAACGTTGCAATAACATTTGCAGTAAAATTCCATCCACGAAAACGAGAATCGATTTTTACAATTTTTTAAATATTAAATAAAGATACACTGGACATAAAAGCAGGTAGCAGTTTCAAGATTGTTAAACAAAATCTCAACATACGTTTGCTATTTTGAATTTTCGATTATTTTCACCCTGTTAACGATAGTGAGAAAAGTTATAGAATTTGATCATTCTGTGGCCACTGAGGTAGGTACTTATTAACTTTACTTTAATGGCATACCATGGTTCTCTCTGGCTGTTTGAACTATATAGAGTTTTCATTATGATGTCATTATTTCATGACGTCACATATATACATGTTGTAACGTCAAAAATATAATTATACTGTTAAATACTGTCCTTTCAACAACTTTACGAAATATCATGCTGTAAAACGTGATATCGTTAATACATGTCTGTAGGTACATGTATACACATACATTTGTATTTGAATGGAGTTGTCCTCCGCCATCTTGTACATTACATATGAATTATGAATATCTAGTTATGTATATTTGTAACCTATATGCTGTATTGCATTTGAATGTAACAAAACTTGAAACTATTAACAACAGATATCATGCAGGGTTATACATTGTGTAAGCTTGGTAGCCTAAGGCTAGCCGAACAAATTATTTGCATCAGCCAACAAAAAGCCGGCGATTTCCTGAAGGTATAGCTTCCTTACTATGTACATTTTTGTAACAGAAAAAGAAGTACTATAAGGGACATAAGACCCTCCTATTTCAACATATGGTGACGTCGTTGGAAATTTTGACAGATAAAACATTCAAAATTTCATTTAGAAAAAAAAAAAAATTATCGTATTATTTTTCAATCAAATGATAACTTTTAACATAATTTACTAGTTTCGGACTGGTGAATGTGACAGACCCCGAGGGTTGTTATCGGATGGTTAAGTTTTTTTTATTAAAATTGTTCCTTACCGCAAAAAAGACATTGATAGACACCATGAGTCCGATCATCAAAGGAACTGACCCCTGAAGGTCGTTCCGTCCTTTGTCAATCACTGCGAACGTCCCGAACAGGAGGAAGAATCCGATGACAGCCTCTGCACCCAGCGCTTGCATGTCCGTCACATCCTTCCCTGGCATGATCAGTCCTAACGAGCCGTGATGCATACCTGGTGGGGTCAACACGTACAATAGTCCAGCGCCACAGATGCCCCCAAAACTTTGAGCCGCAATGTATAAAACTGACCGGACAAGCGTTATTTCCCTAGTAACGGCAAATCCCATCGTGATGCTAGGGTTGACATGACCGCCACTAATAGTTCCAAAAACCGTTACTAGGCAACCGATCATAAACCCAGCTTCAAGGGCAATGTTGACACTAGATGGTGCTGATGAAGGGTTCTCCTTGTGGTACAACCCTGTCCCTGTCGCAAATAGGGTCACGAAAGTAAGTCCCAGCCATTCTGCACACATCGCACGCCATAAATCCGGGGACTTCAAGTCATCACACTCTCTCTTAAGAAAGTTTCTTATGTATGTCATTATACAGAAACACTAAAACGTTATAAAATTATCGCTACACTACTCTGTGAACTGCACAGTCACCGAGAGATTTCACTGTGCAATTAATAGGCAATGTCAGCCAATACGATATCGGTCATATACGTTTGAAGCAACCCAAAATAACAAAACCTGACATTTCTTTGCAAACTTATAAACATTCACGTCCCAGACATACAATATCTTCTATAGATTAATACCTTCCTGTACGTGGTGACATACGATTCACGCAGATATACATAATATATAGGTGAAATAAGTAGGGGATCTCGTTAACCAACCAACCAAAGACGTTTAAGTGGTAACAAGGAATTTTGTATGGTGGACGGTATGTGTCATTTCATTATTTCACAGGAAAATTGTCGTCTGTTGTCCTTGCTAATTATCGTCGTTTCGTAGTAAAATAACGAGAAAGCGATGACACACTAGAAGCGGGGTAACGATGGGAAATATAAGTTGCCATTCTGCGACACAACTTTTGCTCTGATATACAATTAAAGTACATGTTTTTGAATTTTTTAAACGAAATAAAGTCAGTCGCCGTATTTCCGCCCCGGTAAACATCGTTCTTTCGCTGTAAAAAGATTATAAATAGCGGGCGCAAAGACTAACAATTATCGTTATTTCTTAGCAAAAATTACGACGAGTCTAGGGGAAGGGATAACCTTAGTGAGCAAAATGTATCGGGCCGTGAAACAGAAACTTGATGGTTTATTAAACCCCCGCAACGAAGTTAGGGGGGTAAACTGGAATCAGGTTGTCTGTCCGCTCGTCCGCCCGTAGATTTGTTTTGTCCGAACAATTCCTTTTAAAAGAATAGACCGATTTCAACGAAAGATTCCAGTTATGGCACTTTGTTGAAAATTCATTGTCCGGACAACTCCTCCGAAACACTTGGGCCAATTTCAACAAAAGTTTTCAGATATTTTAAATATACCACCTGATGTTGTGCATCCAGCTATTATTTTTTCATTCTGACCCTTTCCACGGAGTTATGGCCCTTTGTTGAAAAATCCTTGTCATGACAACTTCTTCTAAACTACTAGGCCGATTTGGAAGATAGTGTATAGATATGGTTACTACCCAATGACGTTGTGCATGCAAGTATTATTATTTTTCATTCTTTTTAAAGGAGTTATGGCCCTTTGTTGAAAACATCCCTGGCCGTGCAAGTTTTCCTAAACTACTAGGCCGAGTTCAGGAAAACTGGTTCATCTGGAATAACACGATTTGGTATGCAAGTATGTATTGGCATGGGGAGGGCGTACAAGAAGTATATGTCACTGTGACCTTTATACCTGTATTAATATGAGTGTACAGCTCAGCAAATAAAGAAACCAATACTGGACGGGGGACTATGGATTGCTTTGCAATACTTTGCCTAAATTAGTCTTTAGCTTATAGTCTGGTTAATATGGGAATGGGCGTTGACATACCGTTCTAGTTTACTTAGTATATGGGAGCGGGGGTATTAGTGAGTATTTGGCTTACATTTCTAGTTTACTTAGTATATGGGGGCGGGGGTATTAGTGAGTATTTGGCTTACAGTTCTAGTTTACTTAGTATATGGGAGCGGGGGTATTAGTGAGTATTTGGCTTACAGTTCTAGTTTATATGGGAGCGGGGGTATACGTTAGCCTTTGGCTTACAGTTTTGGTTTACATAGGAGCGGGGGTATAAGTTAGCCTTTGGCTTACAGTTCTAGTTCAATTCACTTAGGCTTTACGTTATTTCTGTATTTCGTCTGCGAGAAGAAAAGCGACAAGTATCATTTTTTCTTTTCTGCGAAATATTTAAAATAGCAAAAAGGTATACGCCGGCTGCCATATATTTGTGTTTTTCCTATGCACTCATGAGACACCGTTGTTTACGTGACCACCAGACGTTGCTGCGGACATGGTGCATGATTACACCCAATATGTATCGTCTGCTTATCTACCTGAGGTTGTAAACACAGCAAAAATTCAGTACAGCTATATATCATGCACAGAATTACAGCTTTGTAAATGTCTAAACAAACATGTTATGCCGCACATATATTTGCATACATACATAACTGAGGGCAACAATAATGCATCAGTTTTATCAAACTAAAGAAATTCTGTAACAAAGCTTTATTCATAACAATAATTTTGTTAAGAGGTCAAGGTTACCGAGGACCTGAGCAGTCGTACTTCACATCTGTCTCCACAAAACTTACGTTTTGTGCATATTATACAGAATTTTCCGGTGAAAAATTTGGACATGCCATTTGTCTTACAATAGGAAACGTATACTGAGCTATGGATGTAAGAAGTAGAATGGTTTTACAGTGAAATAGACAAGGTTTTTTTTTT